CAGTCAAGTCAATACAGTAATCGAGAAAAAATTTCAAATGAAAGGATAATTGTCATATATAAAGATAGTAGCTACATTTTTGTGGCGTCCGTCAGGTAATCCTTGGCCCTGTATTTGTATTTCAAATAGAAAAATGTTTGGACTATTTGTTAATCGGTCCTGTTGAGATAGAGTTCCCGTCAAGAAAAGTAATCATCGGTCCTTCTAGAACCTGAAGAGCAACATATATATAGTGCTTCTGACAAAATTAAGGTTATACCTAACATAGATTTCAACTAAACCTAGTAATTTCTCATCTCATAGATATTCATTCAGCTTCTGGAGCACCCTGTACGCTAATAGTTTAATTTTTGTAAAGTATGATCCCTAATTTTTGCCCAGCTAGGGCAAAGGGGGGGGGGAGCTGGCCCCACTTACCCCAACCTGGGTACGCCCTTGTGTGCTTGTACATTAAAAATACATAGGCACTCCAGTAAATTTATAGCTCCGAGGTCAAAGTTCTGCTTGTTTTTGGTCATGGTTCTTTTCATGAAAACTTTGCGAGATCATTATATCAGCAGATAGAAGTAGATAGTTTAATTAATCTTCGCTGGTGCGATTCGGACTAACTTAAAATTCCTTACTTTGGGCTTCCAGGCTGGTTCATATAAAGTGAATGATAACACACTTCAAGAATAGAAATTTCTGAACGTATTTTCCCTGATTCTGCTGAGAACCCTTATTTCTTGCTACCGAACGTATTAGACGTTTTTTAAGCAATTTTTTTCCAAATTGAACTTGATAGGAAATATCAGTTTTTTCCAAAACAAATCACATCAAGTCATGTTCTTTGACAGCTGCTAAGACGAAAGTCACTTTCCATTAAGATCAAATGAATCAATGTAAAAAAAAGAAAAAACGGCTTAACATATAATCTAACTTTTTGATATGGTATATAGAGGCCATAAATTTAAACTAAAAAAAAAAGTTAATTATAAGACCTAAAAAGGCTTGCAATATTTTTACTATTGCTGGTTATGATATTGTTGGTTTTAAGTATGATAAATATAAACCACTAAACACAATACAAACTAAAAATTATAATATAACGATTGATACAAGCAAGAAAAAAGCGTTTGGATAGCAAACTACATTTTAATTATCTCATATGAGTCAACTTTATCCGATTGTATAGAATCTATTTAAAAAATATTCATGCAATTTCGATGACATACCTTTGGATCATTGAAGGAAAATAAATTTCATTTTTGGACTTTTTTCTCACGACACTAGACCAGTGTAGGTCATGACGTTAAAGACTCCCCATTTTAGTCAAGCGGAATCGCATAGCAACCCTTTGTAGCTCGATTCAGTGGACTACACAGTCAGGCAAGATCGCAAAGCTCACAAGTCCGCGGCTCGAACTTTAGGTCTAACCTTACATTGTTTCTACAACAATCAATCTTTAAATTAATTTAAGGATAAACTTAAAATCCCCGAATACTAATAAACAGTGACTGAAGCACTTCCCTCACTTTCCTCTACCTCCTTCCTTCCCTTTTGTCTTCTTTTCTTCTTTCTCTCTGACTTTGCAAACAGACCTGTCAGACCCACTGACTTACGATGCTCTAACCAAGTTCTAAGGTCCTACGGACCGGTCTGACATGCAATGACGAATAGGAGACGATGAAGACGCCCTATTTGATCATGACCTGTCCTGTGTTCCTCTTCTTCTATCTTTTCCTCTTGCCCTTGTTAGCGTTTTACCAACACGAAGAACTTTGAGTCTTTCAAGTTGTTGCTTTTTTTATTCTTACGAGTTATCTTAGGTTATATTTGGAAGATTAATCCAGTATGTAAGTACTGTATGTACAATGTCACCAAGAAAGTATTGTATTGTGGATCAAATCCCACTTCTGAGTCACGTCAGAGTTCCCATGGTTTCAGAAGTATCTTTATATATATAGCTTCTTCATCGAATCTTTCTCATTTGTATATTACTAAACATATGCGCTTAGCTATAGACGCTTAAGGATATTTGTTGATCAGTATTTTTTATAATAAAAATAGATTTAAAATATTGTAAGGGACCAAATTAGTCCTAATAACAAAAAAACGATCATGCGATTGCCCGGAATTGTGAAGACATCCTTTGAACTTGGATCATCATGCATTGCGTAGGATGTTATCACATTTCTCTGTGAATATAAAAACCACTGATAAAATAAATTTAAAACGTTTCGTTTATGTTTTGTAAATACTCGTACAAAAGTGAATTGAATGTCGATTTTTTTTTGAAAATAAATTGTTTAAAAGCGTTAGCTTATGTTTTTATTAATCTGTGCCAGAACGTTCATACAACGCCGTACAAGTGAGGATTTGTGTGCTAATAATATTTGTTGATGATAATTCTATTGGATTCTTGTCTCAAATACACTTACTTGAGATTCAAAGCTCGAAATTATTTTTTTCTTATCCATTCTGGAAATTACATAGGGTCAAGTGATGCAAAAACGAGACGATTTTTAAACCTTTTAATTTTTTGTCAACAAAAAACCGGACTTTAAGGCTTTGTTACATTGCCCTGTATATAGAAAGCCCTCACGTTAAAAAAAGTTCATAATATTCATAATGTAGGGCGTTTTTGTTAAAAAGCCGTGTCTCGTTTTTAACCACTATTTAGGCTAAAAATGAGACAGTGAGAGGTTAAAAACAAGACACTGTATTTTCTGGCCTTCTAGTCATTTTACATCAGTGTGGCAAAATATGAGACCCTGGGGAATAAAAACGAGACACACTGCAAGGGTTTTAAAGCGTTTAGTAAGTCAAATAACATATACTAAGTGACATATAAATCCGAACACCCAGTTTAAATGGTTTTATTTTAATAAAATTTTGTATAAGTACTTAATGAAGCATAATAAGTAAATGATAAAAATTTCAAAATGATTGCACTGCTTTAAAGCCCTTTGACCTTTAATAAAATGTGTGGATGCACCCTGATGTGCTACGCATTCTCCAACGCGCCTAGGCATGCTTTTGATCAGGTGGTCAATGTCCTCCTGTGGTATCTCATTCCAGGCAACCACCACCTCCTCTCGAAGTGCTTCTAGAGTCTGAGGAGGACGTTGCAAATTGAGCAATCTCCTACCCATCATATCCCACACGTGCTCAATTGGGGATAAGTCGGGAGATCTTGGTGGCCATGGTAACAATGTGACATCATTATGTTGAAAGAAGTCTATTGTGACTCTTGCAACATGTGGTCGGGCATTATCTTGTTGGAAAGTTGGATCTGCCAGGGTGTCAAGATAGAGTAAAAGATGGGGTTCTAGAACTTCGTGGATATAACGCTGCGCGTTCATGTTACCTCTGATGAAGATTAAAGGTGACCTGGAACCATAAGCTATAGCACCCGAAACCATAACTCTAACAGTGTGATGAACATGTCATTCAACAAAAAACTGTGGATTCCTCCTTTCACCACGTCGCCTTCTAACCCTGGCACGACCATCGTGCATGCCTAAACAAAATCGAGACTCGTCACTAAAGACAATACTGTTCCATTCCTGATCCCAGAGTGACCGTTGTCTGCACCATTCAGGGCGATTACGTCGGTGTTCTCGAGTTAAAGGGAGGACCCAGTGTGGCCGGTATGATAACAAGCCAAAACTTCTCATTCGTCGGTAAACACTTCGCATGCCAATAGGTCTTCCGTGTTCTGCAAACCATTCATTTGCAATGGACCTGGTAGTGGAGAAACGGTCCCTTAAGGCCAATAATCTTAGGCGGCGATCTTCACGGTCTGTTGTTCTACGGCGGCGTCCAGTGCCCCTTGCTCTTTGCGTACGGCCTTCTCGAAGCCATGCCTGACAACACCTAACCACAGTGTCTACACTTCTTTGAACTCTAACTGCAATTGCCCGAAAAGAAAGTCCAGCTTCCCGAAGTCCCACTATACGGGCCCTATCAAACTCACCAAGTTGACGAAATCGTACAGGTCTCCGTACTCTAGGCATCGTAACCGATCGTAAAGGATGTCAAGAACCAAAATCCGCCAACGTTGATTCTTTACTGCAGCTGAAATATTCATTTTTAGAGCGTTAGTGAATTAAAAAAAAGCAGTATAAAAACCGGAATGTCCAACTGATAAGGCTGAAAATTTTTTCACTTGTTATTTACAGTAAGATAAATACATTCACCAACTTTTATTAAAATAAAACCATTTAAACTGGGTGTTCGGATTTATATGTCACTTAGTATAGTTAGGTTTTAAATTGTGACAACGTTCTTAAAGAAAACTCACATAATTAAATACACAACTATGTTTATTAAACTAAAAATAAAACAAATCCAAAAACAAGTTGAATAAAGCATACGTAATTCAAAAAAGGGGTAAAACAAGATTTTCAATAGGATTTTAAGAGCTAAAGTAGAAAACTTATTATTCTAACGTATTTTGTACTACATATTATTGAACGACGTATTTTTCAAAGTCGATAGGAAACCAAGAAAAAAGATAAATACATTCACCAACTTTTATTAAAATAAAACCATTTAAACTGGGTGTTCGGATTTATATGTCACTTAGTATATATATATATATATATATGTGTGTGTATGGAAGTAATTTGTAACGTATCTTTTACAATGTTATTGTTTTTTTGCATTGGGAAAAATTGAATGTCTTGTTTTTGACCGAAATTTCGGCTGTCTCATTTTTGCACCACTTGACCCTATGGCAAATTTGCTGAATTTCAAAAATGAGAGAGGTAAGAAATCATATACAGGCTATCAGTAATTACACACATCGCGGGCTCAGGTTTTTAGACGCTGTTGGTTAATTCGATGTCTTCCGCTTGACCGGCGCTGTGATGTTTTGTATCAATCTACATCCGCACGCGTCCAAAGTGGACAAAAAGGGATAAAATAAGCAAAACTTGATCGTCCACATCCTGGCGCACATCCCGTGCCTTGCTAATTGTCCGATAAATAATATCATCTCGGAACCTTTCACAAAAATGTCAGTTCCGTTAGAGAACGTTATAGCAAGTACGCCAAAGTTATAAAAGAACCAACCACACTCTTGTCCCAGATTGACTCGTCTTATTTTCGCATTCATTATCTCACATAAATTCAGGTATTAATCGAACGTTACAGTATACGCAGTTTGTCATGCGCTACGAGGGCACCTCGATAGTATCTCGACACATTGCTGGACAAACGGTGTCACGATACGCAGACGATTGTGCGGGTTAAATGAATCCAAACAGCAAAACATAGCCATCATGAGAGCTAAAGGATCAATTAAAGAAATGTTTAAGTATTACGATTGCAATAAGCATGTATTCGTATTTGGACGAGTACGAACGAACCATAAACAGATCTGGTTTGGCAGGACTGGAGATCGAACAGTCGTAACCCCGTCATCGATCAAATACGATACCTTGGGCTTAATCATAATAAAACAGTAGGCAAATTATGCTCAAAGACTTCCTTACATACATACATACGGGCCAAGCTAATATAAAATAAAACATTATAAAAATATAATACAGGGTGGCGCATGGAAAACGAAACAGACGCATTTACTAGCAGTCCCGTCGATTTTGTTTTCGAGGGGGATACAAGTTTGGCAAAAAATCACGTTAGCACGTGCAGCCCCCTAAGCGGGGGTGACACCACCCCCAAAATCTTAAATGGAAAGGGGGGTCGAGTGATACTTTATTTTAAAGGTCTTTCAATTCTCTTTATAATGATATAAAATTAACGTACTTCAGTTCAGAAGTTTTGAAGATTTATTGATTTAAAGCTTATATAAAACTAATACATCAGCATTAGTGGAGATCAATACATTTGGCAGCAAAGTAATTTAAAAATGAAGAATGAACTGACCCGTTAGGCAAGTAAATGTTGAAAGTGGCCACCATGACTCTCCATGCAATAATAAAGATTTTGCTCAAAACTTTGCCGCACATTTTGCAGTATTTGAGGAGTAATTTGAAGGCACTTATTCACAATCCTTTGTCGCAGGTCTTCTAATGATGTTGGCTGAGTAGCATAGCTTTTGCTTTTCAAATGACCCCACATAAAGAAATCCAAAGGTGATAAATCTGGCGATCTTGGGGGCCATACAATGGCACCTCTTCTACCAATCCATCGATCTGGAAACGTCTGATCTAAATATTGTCGAACACGTAATGCATAATGTGTTGGGGAACCATCCTGTTGGAACATCAACCTATTCGCAATGTACCGCCGACCAGTCTGATTTTCAATTATGGCTGTTAATGCAGGATCTATGGCGTCTTCCAGTAATTCCAACTAAATGATCGCCAAAAATACCAGCCCGAACGTTTAATTTTTGTAGCAGCTGTGTATGAACCTCATGATAAATTCTGGGATTAGAATCGGACCAATATCGGCAGTTATGACGATTTACTACGCCATTTAAGAAAAAGGAACATTCGTCGGAAAAGCAAGTGTTGAATAGAAAATGTTCATCGTTTATAATTCGTTCCCTCATATCTTCACAAAACTGTAATCGCCGATCAAAATCGTCTTCATTAAGTTCTTGCACCAGGTGAATTTTATACGGATAAAAACTGGGCCTTTAGAATCCGTTGGACAGTACGTCTACTAACACCACACACAGTCTCCAATTTGCGGGTACTTAACGTAGGATCTACATAAACTTACCCTAAAATCCCCACTTCTATTGCTTCGTTCTTTATGGGATTTTCAAAGTTGCGTTTTTTATTGGCGACTGACCCAGTTTCCCGAATTTAGCTACAAGTTCTAGAACATATTTTCGATGCACGTTACTGTTCTCGTGTCGCTCATTAAATATTTCTGCTGTTCTATTAGCGCACTGATTATTTCCGAAAAATATTTCAATAATTTCAACTCTTACCATGATTAATTTATGTAATAAAGCGTTACAAGTTATTTTAGCAACAAAGTTTCTTCAAATCAATCGCAAACTATGTAATAAATTCCTATTTAAAATAAGTACCAGATATTTCCTTATTTTTCTTCAAGAAATAACTTTTTTGCCACAAAAAACGCTCCAATACCTATCTTCAACAACAAAATGATAAACAAACCATGGGCGTAATGAAGAAAAACAATGACTTATTAAGTAAATTCTGTTAGACAAATTTCTTCTGAAAGTAGTACAAACTAATCTGTTGTACCTATTAAAGTCTACGTTAAGACTTAAATCAATAAATCTTCAAAACTACAGAACTGAAGCTCATATATTTTACATAATTATAAAGTGAATTGAAAGACCTTTAAAATAAGGTATCACTCGACCTCCCTTTCCATTTAAGATTTTAGGGTTGGTGTCACTCCCGCCCAGGGGGCTGCACGTGTTAACGTGATTTTTTGCCAAACTTGTGTCCCCCTCGGAAACAAAATCGACGGGGCCCTGCATAGAGTGTGGCGACACGCTTGGATCAGACGCACAAGAAATTCCTTAAAAACACCGAAGATGACAAAAAAAACAAGTAAATCATCCAAACAGCCAGCCGATGCAGCGGTGTCAAATCCAGTCTCCTAAATTCAAGCGACATATATGTCAATAATAATAGTAATAACAATAATAAAATCAACGGCAATTGCCATCAGAACAGTGTGGTCAATAAATTTGGTAAACAACAGATTAAGCGCCACATCAAAAAAGAAAAAATTGGTATTGAAAAACAAGATCTTGCACGGCCAGTTCATGATAAATATAGAAAGACTCATAGTCAAAGAAGCAAGCATGGCACCGTTCTCAAGGGAGAGACCTGAAGCCTCAAGGTCGCAGCCCAAGACCAGGCCCTTAAGACAAGATACTATTAGAAAATAATTCTCAATCAGCCAGTACAAAGTTCATGTAGACTATACAACCAAGGAGAAGAACGCATAAGTCATATATTTGCATGTTGCCCAGTACTGGCACCTAACAAATACACCCATAGACACAATAGAGTTGGTAGCTATATTCATTGGGTGATCTGTAAAGAACTGGGCATGCAGGTGTCTACTAAATACTTTAAGCACGTCCCACGTGATGACAACACAATTTTGTGGGATATACCGTCCTGACATTATCCTCTACAATAAGCGAGAAAATACATTCCTGCTGATAGCTGTAGCTGCGTCAGATAACGCAATGTTGCTCTGAAAGCCAAGCAAGTGGTTTTTAGTTGAAATAAGTAACTTCCACACCTGTTTTTATTTAAATTATCCATCAATATTTTAAAGATTTAAATTTTTTGTAGAACCCTGAGAAAGGAAATAAATTTTCCGAAACGTTGGCAAGTTTATTTCTGTAGTTTCTACATCCAACTAATAGCAAGTAATTTTATGTAAATATGAAGAATATTAAGACCAATATCCTTGATACACGTTAAATAAGAATCCCATAATTCTACTCCCTCGCATATTTCAAATAACCTAGTTACCTACATCTCGTCATCCTCTTCATGGTTTCATGATCAAGTTTAATTGAAACATGACTGGTACCGTACACAAGCTATACATGTACTCATCTTGCTCTTATCGTAACGCCATATGCTGAAAATGCTTGTCACGATGTAGATGAACACCACACACTATAAACTGTAAGTCTTTCATTCGCTGTCGGATGTATGCCTAAAAACAAATGATGTTATGTTTCTCATAATTACGAGTGCTTGATCTTCAGAGCCACCATATTTTATGAGGTCTTCGTCGGTATGGTGAGCAGAAAAACCACCAGGTGGCATCTGACGGGCAATATTTTTCTGTTCCGCAGGATTATTCCGTAAGAGAATGAAGAAGAAGAAGAAAATGGTTTTATTTTAATAAAATTTTGTATAAGTACTTAATGAAGCATAATAAGTAAATGATAAAAATTTCAAAAAGATTGCACTGCTTTAAAGCCCATTGACCTTTAATAATGTGTGGATGCACCCTGATGTGCTACGCATTCTCTAACGCGCCTAGGCATGCTTCCGATCAGGTGGTCAATGTCCTCCTGTGGTATCTCATTCCAGGCAACCACCAACTCCTCTCGAAGTGGCTCTAAAGTCTGAGGAGGACGTTGCAAATTGAGCAATCTCCTACCCATCATATCCCACACGTGCTCAATTGGGGATAAGTCGGGAGATCTTGGTGGCCATGGTAACAATGTGACATCATTATGTTGAAAGAAGTGACTCTTGCAACATGTGGTCGGGCATTATCTTGTTGGAAAGTTGGATCTGGCAGGGTGTCAAGATAGGGTAAAAGATGGGGTTCTAGAACTTCGTGGATATAACGCTGCGCGTTCATGTTACCTCTGATGAAGATTAAAGGTGACATGGAACGATAAGCTATAGCACCCCAAACCATAACTCCAACAATGTGATGAACATGTCTTTCAACAAAAAACTGTGGATTCCTCCTTTCACCACATCGCCTTCTAACCCTGGCACGACCATCGTGCATGCCTAAACAAAATCGAGACTCGTCACTAAAGACAATACTGTTCCATTCCTGATCCCAGAGTGACCGTTGTCTGCACCACTCAAGGTGATTACGTCGGTGTTCTCGAGTTAAAGGCAGGACCCAGTGTGGCCGGTATGAAAACAAGCCAAAACTGCTCATTCGTCGGTAAACACTTCGCATGCCAATAGGTCTTCCGTGTTCTGCAAACCATTCATTTGCAATGGACCTGGTAGTGGAGAAACGGTCCCTTCGTTTCTCCACTACGGCGGCGTCCAGTGCCCCTTGCTCTTTGCGTACGGCCTTCTCGAAGCCATGCCTGACAACACCTAACCACAGTGTCTACACTTCTTTGCACTCTAACTGCAATTGCCCGAAAAGAAAGTCCAGCTTCCCGAAGTCCCACTATACGGCCCCTAACAAACTCACTAAGTTGACGAAATCGTACAGGTCTCCGTACTCTAGGCATCGTAACCGATCGTAAAGGGTGTCAAGAACCGAAATCCGCCAACGTTGATTCTTTACTGCGGCTGAAATATTCATTTTTAGAGCGTTAGTTAATTAAAAAAAAGCAGTATAAAAACCGGAATGTCCAACTGATAAGGCTGAAAATTTGTTCACTTGTTATTTACAGTAAGATAAATACATTCACCTACTTTGATTAAAATAAAACCATTTAAACAGGGTGTTCGGATTTATATGTCACTTAGTATATAATGTCAACTTGTTTATTAGATAGCCACTAGTGTGCCGCTAGTCCATTCCACGACTACTGTAAGTGAGCATAAAGCGAATGTCAGCTAGTTCATTTTATAGTAAAACCTACATAATGTCAAATAAACCTACATATTGTCATGAATATCATATTTTGTATTTTTGCTTATTATTTTAAATATAGTCAAACTGCACAATAATTATATTTAAATCTTCTCGAAATTTCGTATTAATTTTATTGGATTTCCTGAGACTCGGGGGACGAGAAAAGTCTGTCATAATTTTACAATGTATTCTGCGCCCCACAGAGTGAAACACCTTACATGTCATTCCGAGGTTTTTCATAGCATAAAATGTTTCGTTACAAAATCCAATTTATCCTTATAGATGACACTGATGACCGACTTCCATACTTACCTCTTTCTTACGCCTTTTCAACTGAGATGCCCGGGGAGAGAATCTTGTTTCAAATATACAGGGTGTTTCACAACTTATCCGACAAATTTTAACCACATTATGCACTGTTACGAAATAAGTTGATTTATCAAAAAAATGTAATAAAAGTCCTACAGAAATTAACTTATAAGCCTGAGTTTCAATAATAAATTGAGAAATATATGTAAATATCTGTATTTTGCGTTCATCGTCGTGATATTAGGAAACGCATTAATAATTTATTGTAGCAAATGTTGTACCAAACAAATACGGAAAACAAAATGCCAGGAATTTTTTTGTTTTTTCATACTGACAAGAACGTGTAAATAAGGTAGAATCTGTATCGTGGGTATACAGGGTGTTTCAGTTTATTGTTGCATAACTTTAAGATACGATAGAACTTTTAAAATTAATGCACAAAGTCTATATAAACATGGGTCGAGAAATGCGTGGCTTCCGAAATACAGTGTGTTTAAATTTACCTTCTAAAATAGTTTTTTTAAATATTTTGAACAATATCTGATGTATAATAGTGAAAATTAGTATACCAGGGTTTTTTGGTACGACAAAACGAACCATGGGCATAGTTTTACTGTAGCCGCTAGAGGGCGCTCTCTACTGTACCTGTAGTGTATTAAAATGACGAAAATTTTTTCTTAGTACAATTTTTGCTTTTTGAATAAAAAAACTAATTCTTCGCACTTTTCAACATAAAAAAGCACTCTTGTGAATTTTCGTTATAGTTAGTCGTTTTTGAGATATTTCGATATCTAAGGTTCGATGCATTTTTAATTATTTATGATAAGATAACGTTAAAAAGCCAGTATCTCGATAATTTTTAGAAGTAGGCTGTGCCTGCAAATATTTTTAAAATTGAAAGCAGAATAAGGTTAAACGTCAATTAGTTGACAGTTAGTTTTGTTGTCTGTTGAAACCTGAAACGTTTTTTTACAATTGTGAATGCACGAAATTTAGTTTCTTTTACCTGTTTTTTTCTTGTAAGTTTTATAAAAATGCAATTTTTATTCTCTAATCAAGAGTTAGCGGATATTCATTTTGTGTATGGCTTTGTAAATGGAAACGCAGCAGAAGCAGCCAGAGAATACGCACGAAGATTTCCAAACAGACGACATCCAACTCGCTCAGTATTTGTAAGAGTGCATCGCCAAATAATTGAAAATGGTTTTGGAAATATCCAAAGGGATCAAAACATAAATGTTCGTCAGCGCAGATTTACCCGTATGATTCTGCGTGAGTTTGATAGAGATCCGACCACAAGTGTTAGGAGAGTTTCTGGTGCCTTGGGAATTTCAGCAAGCCATGTTCACCGTGTTCTTAGAAATGACCATAGACGTCCTTACCATTTGCAACCTGTGCAAGGACTACAGCCAGGGGACGAAGAACGAAGAATCACATTTTGTCAGTGGATTCTTGATAGAACTGATAATAATAGGAAGTTTTTAAGTAACGTTTTATGGGCCGATGAGTCATGCTTCACTAGACGTGGAGTGGTAAATTTTCATAATCAACATATTTGGTCGCATGAAAATCCGCATGCAGTTCGGGAAAGAAATTTTCGGCATGAATTTAGTGTGAACGTGTGGATTGGTATCTACCGTAATCGACTATTTGGACCCTACCTTTTGCCTGCAAGGTTAAATGCTGCGACCTTCTTGGAATTTTTAAAGGCTGAACACGCAAATATGTGGGATGAGGTTATGTTAGATTTAAGGAGATTGTCCTGGTTCCAGCTTGATGGTTGTCCAACTCATTATTCGAGAATAGCTAGAAACTGGCTGGACGAAAATTATCCAGAAAGATGGATCGGCCTTGGAGGACCAGTCGCCTGGCCTCCACGATCCCCTGACTTAAATCCATTAGATTTCTTTGTGTGGGGATTTCTAAAAGAAAAAGTGTACCAGACTCCCGTAACCACAAGAGATATGCTAATAGACAGAAGCAGGAATGCATGTGATGAAATAAGGCCTTATTTGAATAATGCTATACCACGTTCGATCATTCGTAGATGTGAATTGTGTATTGAACAATTGGGTTTACATTTCGAGCAACTACTTTAGATTTTGTATGTTTGTCTGAACTATCCAATAGCATTTTAGTCGTAAATAATTAATTTAATTTGTTTAAAATAATATTGGAAAATTAAACAAATTAATATTCTGTTTATTTGGAGTTAGGAATTATTGCTGTGTTTAAAAACACAATCTAAACGATCATCTTAATTACTTGTACTGCCCAAATCGAAAATGTAAAAAAAAATATTATTTTCTCATAAATAATTAAAAATGCATCGAACCTTAAAAATCGAGATATCTCAAAAACGGCTAACTATAACGAAAACTCGCAAGAGATCTTTTTTATGCTGAAAAGTGCGATGAATCAGTTTTTCAATTCAAAAAGCAAAAAATTGTACTAGGAAAATTTTTTCGGTCATTTTAATACACTACAGGTACAGTAGAGAGCGCCTTCTAGCGGCTTGTCGTACCAAAAAACCCTTGTATACCAATTTTCACTGTTGTACATCAAATATTGTTCAACATATTTAAATAAAACTATTTTAGAAAGTAAATTTATACACCCTGTATTTCGGAAGCCACGCATTTTACGATCCATGTTTATATAGACTTTATGCATTAATTTTAAAAGTTCTATTGAATCTTAACGTTATGCAAGAATAAACTGAAACACCCTGTATAACTTAATTTCTGTAGGACTTTTATTACATTTTTTTTGAGAAATCAACTTCTTTCGTAACAGTGCATATGTTGTTAAAATTTGTTGGATAAGTTGTGAAACACCCTGTAAATTAAGGAACAGAATAGTTCGTAGAAATATAGTTAGTAGAATAAGTAAAAAATTACACTAGTGTTATTCTACTGTCTTGTTTTCAACGTTTTATCTCATGTTCTCTTTCATATTCTGTATCTTCTTTTCTTCAGAATTCATCCTTTTCATTTTTATTCCGATCGCAGAAACGAAAAGAATCCGCTATTTCCAGCTGGTGTTAAGTAGCATTGACACCATGTCCCGTAAATTGTTTTCTAAATTAAAAATTTGTTTCTTTGCGTCTAGCGTATTTATCTAAAAGCAATCATCTTCAAATTATCCACGTCTATAAAAACCGATAGCAACAGGTTACCGTGCTAAAAAGATGTCCGTTATCGACAAATAAATGGTCGGAAAATTCCAAATTGTTAGACTAGACGTTCGATAGAATTGAACTTTTAATAATCCAGATCCTTTCCTGCCCCGTTTTGGTCGGTTTTTTAATCCACTGCCCTCTTAAACCATTACAAGTTTGTGTACAATATATACAGCGTGTTCGGAAAATAGGCGGAGGTATCTATACTAAGTGACATATAAATCGGAACACCCAGTTTAAATGGTTTCATTTTAATAAAATTTTGTATAAGTACTTAATGAAGCATAATAAGTAAATGATAAAAATTGCACTGCTTTAAAGCCCTTTGACCTTTAATAATGTGTGGATGCACCCTGATGTGCTACGCATTCTCCAACGCGCCTAGGCATGCTTCTGATCAGGTGGTCAATGTCCTCCTGTGGTATCTCATTCCAGGCAACCACCAACTCCTCTCGAAGTGCTTCTAGAGTCTGAGGAGGACGTTGCAAATTGAGCAAACTCCTACCCATCATATCCCACACGTGCTCGATTGGGGATAAGTCGGGAGATCTTGGTGGCCATGGTAACAATGTGACATCATTATGTTGAAAGAAGTCTATTGTGACTCTTGCAACATGTGGTCGGGCATTATCTTGTTGGAAAGTTGGATCTGACAGGGTGTCAAGATAGGGTAAAAGATGGGGTTCTAGAACTTCGTGGATATAACGCTGCGCGTTCATGTTACCTCTGATGAAGATTAAAGGTGACCTGGAACCATAAGCTATAGCACCCCAAACCATAACTCCAACAGTGTGATGAACATGTCTTTCAACAAAAAACTGGGGATTCCTCCTTTCACCACGTCGCTTTCTAACCCTGGCACGACCATCGTGCATGCCTAAACAAAATCGAGACTCGTCACCAAAGACAATAGTGTTCCATTCCTGATCCCAGAGTGACCGTTGTCTGCACCACTCAAGACGATTACGTCGGTGTTCTCGAGTTAAAGGGAGGACCCAGTGTGCCCGGTATGAAAACAAGCCAAAACTTCTCATTCGTCGGTAAACACTTCGCATGCCAATAGGTCTTCCGTGATCTGCAAACCATTCATTTGCAATGGACCTGGTAGTGGAGAAACGGTTCCTTAAGGCCAATAATCTTAGGCGGCGATCTTTACGGTCTGTTGTTCTACGGCGGCGTCCAGTGCCCCTTGCTCTTTGCGTACGGCCTTCTCGAAGCCATGCCTGACAACACCTAACCACAGTGTCTTCTTCTTTGCACTCTAACTGCAATTGCCCGAAAAGAAAGTCCAGCTTCCCGAAGTCCCACTATACGGCCCCTATCAAAGGATGTCAAGAACCAAAATCCGCCAACGTTGATTCTTTACTGCGGCTGAAATATTCATTTTTAGAGCGTTAGTGAATTAAAAAAAAGCAGTATAAAAACTGGAATGTCCAACTGATAAGGCTGAAAATTTTTTCACTTGTTATTTACAGTAAGATAAATACATTCACCAACTTTTATTAAAATAAAACCATTTAAACTGGGTGTTCGGATTTATATGTCACTTAGTATATGTTGAAAAAATATGAAAAAGTTTCTATAAATATGAGTCAGAAATGCAGTTTTGTATAAATGAAAGAAAATTATTAATACCTTGAAAAATATTTACTCGATGTTGTTTACATTGACTCGTAAATGTCAAACCTCGATGCAGAAATGATTTTTTCTTTTCCAATGCGCCTTTGATTTTAATAAATAAAAAAATTAAACGGTTTTTATTTTATTTTTCTCGAAAACGAAGTGAGATACAAAATAAGAGGAAAAGAAGTTGTATTTTTAGATGTTTAATCAAACAAGAAATATTAAAGTTACTAAAAAGGCAGTGACGTACATCTTTTACCAATAATATTCGCCAAGGTGCTCCCCGTAACGCCACTGGGTCCAATAGTTTCAATCTACTCGTATTTAGGGCTGAATCATCCTCTCAGTCGAACAAATAATGATGCCAAATTTCAGCAGAAGCGAGTAGATATTTTTTGAGACACTACGAAAGGATATTTTTCTTTAAATTGATCACCATGTACCTTGAAAACTTTCTGGACCCATGTTTATAGAACCATTTTTTCATATTTTTCAACAAAGAATCACCCTCTAAGATATCTCCATCTATTTTTCGAACATTCTGTATTTAAACGATATTTTCCAAATTAATTATGATCTAAAAAATGTAACTAAAAATGATTTTGTCAAAATTATTCGGTGGTTT